TTGTTGAACGGAAGAGATATTGTGTCGTTTCTTCAATTTAGTTGAATACTATTGCATGATTAGGGACAAAGTTGTGCGATGATAGCATGAATTCATATGGTTCGGAAAATACATGTGGTAAAACACTATAACAAATGGAGAAAAAGTGCGAAAATCTCTTGAAGGCTCTTCGGCACACAAGTTTCAAAATGTAATGGTTATACATTCTAAAAATTAAGAATTTGTGTTTTTGCCATTTGTCCATTCTCTAGATTGAAGGAAAAGCCTTGTTTTAGCAAGTTATATAACTTAGAGAGGAAAAAGCCTCTTTTATTGTATTTCTTCTTTGTTATATTTCACTTTATGCCTAAGTTCAACAAGAAGTTATATAAGCTAAAGATAGATAATGAAATCGCAAGTAGGGTGGTTTCCAAACGTAGTGGCCTTAATCTGATCAGAGCCCGGCTCAAATCGCAACTTGGCTTCTTCACATTCGAAGCTCATTGTACCTTTCTTCGTTTCCGCTCTACAATCCGTAATAGACAACCGCGAACCAAACCTCACTTCATTCCTCTCTTTAATAGCATCCACAATATCTTTCCCAATCGCACCGCTAAAGTCTTTTTTAGTAGCAACTACTGAAACATTGAAAAGCTGAGGAACGCCTAATTCGAGTTTGTTGTAACTACGTATCAATCATACATGACAATATTAATTCTCTGGTTTCAAATAATAATGACAAAGCAATGAAAGTCAATTAGATATAACAATGTCTAAAGTTAATTAATGTCATATACTATAATGTAGAGAATTTTCCCAAATAATGTATAACTAAAAAAGAAAAGAAAAAGAGAGAAATCCAATAGGATGAGATCAGGATCAAATCAATACATTCAAGAGGATAAAAAAATGCGCTTGGGGTGAATCCAAGTGGCCCAATAGGACGTAAATTTTTTTGCATTTCATTAAAAAGACAAATCTTTTTTTTGTTTGAAAAATATTAAAATGTCAATGTCCTTGATATGCTTTTTTCATACAATTTTTAAATATTTTACATATGTTTAAATTTTCATAGAAATTATTGTAAAAATATTATTATTAATAGTTGTGGTTTTGGGATAAATTATGGGTGTTTTTCTTCTATAC